AAACGAGGAGTGACTCAAAAATCGCGCTCTTTAAGTTGACCAATGACAGGCCGCGTCCATGGGTCACAAAACACGGCATCACGGTGGAATCCAGAATTTCTGAAATAATTTAAATGCAGTGCTGATTTTGTCCTTAGAGAAGAATTTAGAGTGATCTGCCTTCTTTTCTTGTAAGAAGCAACCTTCACTCAATCACCTAATCTCAGGTCTGAGATTAGGCATTTTAGCTTGTCCTGAGTGGAATTAATTTGTCATTCAAACACGGCAATCACCGCGACAGTCCACAAGAAGCGAAAGAATCGCTAAACGGGAGACCAACACTGTCATGTCTTTCCGTTATACGTTTTAATCGCGAAATCCTTCCCACACAAGACCAAAATGCAGCTCAAACTAGCCCAAATGCTCAATTATTGCATTATTAAGTGCAACAAAACCCGTCCAGTCCCATATTTTTGGCGAAGAAAGGTGAACGAATGTACTTGGCACGTGGCGAAATCCGTACTTTTTGGCGAAACGCCATCCAGGGGTCATCCAGGATTAAACCTTGATCCGCCACATGTCAGAGTGTGTCCACTTAGCGGTGACACGAACTAAGAATCCGGTGAAGGTGGCTTGACAGTTGAATTCATGTGGACAACTTCAAGGTCACTTGTCGACCCACAACTGATCGCCATTTGGTTACGAAAGCAGCCGGTCATCCGAATTGGCACACACGACACGTCCTTGGTTAGCTCCGATTCCCTGGCCACCGTCTAGTTAACTGTAAATAACACAAACGCAAGCCCACATGACATAACATTGAACCTTATTCACTCAGAACTAATTTGTTTTCGTGCAATTATGGCGCATTTCCATAGAGTTTAAGAGAACTCTAATTCAAATGCATTCAAAATGTTAGAAACTCTAAGCAAAATGGCTGAATAAAGTGAGCTGGCTTATTGGCCAATCATTGACCTCGCACAGGATGCCGCCATGTACAATTATGATTGGTAAATACCCGTTACACCTTGCGGTTTCGCATTTGGTTACATCGATTACTCAATTAGTCATGGAGCACTCACTTAAAAAAACTTAAAAAATTGGTAAACCCAAGGACTGGTTAAAGCGCAATACTATTGGTGAACTGACTCGAACACGTGAATGCTGATTGGCTGAAATTTCAAACTGGCACAAAGCAGAAAGTGAGTCGGTATTGATTAAAATTGCCACAAAAATGAACTTGCTATCACAACGGGACATCTACGGTTCGATTAGGTATGAAGTTTTCCTGAAATGGGCACCTTTTGGAGCAAAGGAGCGTTGGGTTTCAAGGTCACTCTGCCTCTTGGTATATCAGTGAACAGAGATATAAGGAATTTTGAAAAGATGAGTATTTACAAGCATTGGATGAAACGCGATGGGTCTAAAGCGTTTTTCAACGATCAGCGACCTAGAACTTAAAATTTGTTTCGGTAGGAACCCTCCGAGGCCTTGGTTTGACCATTTGTTTTAACTCACTTGCAAGCTTGTTGGTTTTGTCAAATTGACAAAAAACGATTTGCATTATCAATCAAAGCCAATCAGTCTGCAGCTGTGGGCGTATCTTTTGTAATTTGCCGGTCAAATGCCGATTTTTGGCCGGGCATAAATTACTGCGCGTCCTATTTTTTTTTAAATTGCGCAGAAACGACACCATAATGCGAGCATATTTGAATATAAGTCAACCTACACAAGTTTGATAAATCGAACCTTTGGCGATAAGAAATTTAAACAAAAATTGATTGGTCGACCTTCAGAATCTACGCATTACATGCCTTAATCGTGAGTTCGGTGAAAATCAATATTGTGCACGATTAAATATCAATTTTATGATTAAATCTTTCTTGTCCAAAGAAACTAACGAACGTCGACTGCCATTTCAATCAGATATTTGTTGAAGTTGCCATGTACAGCGTTGATTCGAATGTCTTGCCAGCGTGTTTTAATTTACAAGTTACAAGGCGCGCGAATTAAAAGGCTTGAAAGAACCTTTGAAATTTTAATAACAGGGACGCGAAACATTTCCGAAGTGTCATCAAAGTTAATCTGATTTGAACGCAGTTCTCTACAGCAAACTTTGAATGAAAACGTACAGTGTAAACGATTTGTGCAATATGGCAGCGATCGCTCTCTCCATCTACAAAAATTTGATTGCCAATCAATTGGAAATCGATTTGTCAAAAAGCAAACCGTCGATCTATCTACCAGATGTGAGCAGGCATTGCCTTCAAATTGTCAAAATCCTAAAGAGGCCATGAAAAAAAACCTTTTGTTGTTTTATGGCCGACGTCGACAGCAGACGCGACACGGTTAGTGGTGCTGTCATGTGTCTGACAGCAGTTCGACGTGCGTTCATTGGCAGATGACACTCAAATGGAAAAGCTGAATTTTCCCGTCAGCATCGAAACAGACTGACAGGAAAAGATGGTTTATTTCCATTTTTTAGAACTTTTTTCATGATTTCGTTAAACCTGCTTTGTCCAACTTTGATTTAAAACAAAGTTACCGGTAGTTATGCCAATCCTGCTTGTTTAAGTGCGTAAGTGAGATCAAGGTCAAGCCGGATTCAAAAGGCGGTGAATTCGTTCTGCAAGGTCATCGAGTAGCCACAATACAAAGAAGCGTCAATGCGTTTGAAAAATTTGGAAATTGGAGTTGTGTGAATAAACGCTGATCTCTCGAAGACATATTAATTCGTAAAAAAATCGCAACGAGGTGCTTGTCAGGTCTACGGTCCACTAGTTTGCTGATTTTGCATTCTTTTCAACCCTTTACCTCAGAACTAGCTGCATCCTTTTTGAAAAGTAATATATGATGTTTACAAGCACTAATTACCGTCTTTGTTGTTTTATTGAATCGTTACAATGTTTCCCTGGGGAATGTCTGCATCCTTTTAAATTATAATGACCTAATTCAAACGATTAGTGACCTTGAAACTGTCTGAAGGAGTTTAAAAGAATGCAAATTATCCAGACACGCTTGATCTCAACCCGAAATCAAATTAACCACAAGCGAATTAGATCAATGTTCAATCAGAATTAACTAATATTGGTAAAATAACATGCATCGTGCTTCTGTTTTATTAAAGCATGAAAAACCGGCCCTTGAATTTTGAGTACACTGACCTTGAAAGCAGTTGGTGGAGAGTGAGTTTTCATTGGCTGGCTACGTGCAGTCAATTAGTCCGGGAGTAAATTAGTTGCACAAAACAACAGTCAAACAGGCTTATTGCAGCAGGGCGAAAACCCCTCTTAATGGGGAGCCACAAAAGTCATTCTTTCACGACTGTTTTCATAGACTTTCCAGTGGTTTTTTGATAGGCACGCCACCGACAACTGTTAGTGTCTTGTCTCGAATGTTGTAGGCACATGGTTTTTGTGTTGAAGTCTTGTCTTCACTGGGCAACACGCTTGTGTGCGTTTAAAATAACAATAATCTTGTTTTTGAAAACAAAAAAAACGTTCGTTTGCAGATTTTATTAAGCATAAATGGTTAGTGTAGTGCCCCGGATTGCAATAGCAACGTATCTGCAATAAACCATTAGTGGTCAAATCGAACTCAACATTTCCTTGGAGCAAAACACAAAGTTTGTTTTAATTACTGGATGCCTGGATGATATCAAGGTTGTCAGGGCACATTAATCTCATTGGTCACTATTTGGTGCCCTAGAATTCGATTGGTTGCTTGATATGCTTTGAGTCTGGCTTGCCGAAAAAACACAATTACCAGTGACAGAAAAAAATAATGATTCACCCCAGCACTAAATATATTTTGCCGAACTAGTGCTTATTTTGCTAGCCACGTCTTAAAGTACTCCGCATTTATTTGCACACACTGGGTCCTGTTTTTGATAGAAGGATGTGTGTGTGTGTGTGATTAATGAGGCTGTTTACAAGGCGCAACAATGAGAGTTTCTTGGCTAAAAATATCCACTAATTACTGACATTTAAAGGCTCTTTTGTGCAAAGTAATAACAGCGAATGGAATCTCCATGAAAAGCGGAAAACTAAACAATTCAGTAAAAGAAAAACCAGAAGAATTACTTCGACATATTCAAATTGAAAGGGGAATTAATTTATCAATTTTCTAAAGAAAAATATGCTTAGAAAAACGATTTCCGATATCTCGGTTATTGACAATTGCATTTAAATGCATTTCACAATTTTGGCTACTGCACGAGCATAAATCGATAATCGGCATTTTAGTCGATTGCTATTGGTTAGCCTGATTTTTGGGGCTTTGGTAAGTCTGATATCAGTTTTTTGCGCGTGCTGGGATGTGCGCGCGGCACACAAACTTGGTGGGCAAATTGGGGCAAATTTCTCTACTATTTTTAGCTACGCCAACACGGCAGGGACGTCCTTTTCAAAATTATTCCCACTTCCAGATAACCTGTCGTGTGGTCGTTAACCCACAGAAACATCTAGCCCCGTGGCTGTAGAAATTTATTTTTGGCTGAAAAACAGACACTTTTGCCGCAAGCAGCTGCGGTGCCGGTTAAATGGAATTGTTTAAATATTTTGCACACATTAGCGTTGCCGCGTGATTTGAATGCAGTTGTGCGTACTGCAGCTTATTTAAACACGAAAGCTGAAATGCAAAGAGGAAGCTGCTTATGGAGAATTAAACTTTCGTAATATTAATGCGTTTACCGGCTTTGGATTTCGTCGATTTGATTGGTTGCTAAGACAATGGTAACACATTTGAAACGCAAGTTAACGGGTTTTTTCACACATCTAATTAATTGATTCATGCAAAGTTGTTTTCGTTTGACTAAACTTCAAAGGATACTTGTTACACCTTACAGTGTTTATTACGGTGGAGAACGCTATCACCCAGCATCAAATTGCTAAAATTGAAATCAAAACGAACTGTCTACTGAGCATCTAATAAGTACGGAGGACAAAATCTAGATCGTCCTATCACGGCTACTTAAAACATTCTTGCAAGTTGGTTCACTAAACGTGATTTGACCAAGTCAAAGGCCAAGTGAGTCCTTAATTTACGTCCTTCACTAGCCGGATTAGGTCACAAGATTGAATGTCAGCGTGTTTATCAAAGTTGAACATCCCTGCGTGAACATCCCGCATTGGTTCCATCCCATATTTAAAAACAGCAATCTGATTGGTTCCCACGAGACGCCGCAGAAATGCTTTTTAAAGTATTGCTGTTGATGCAAAAGGCAAACGGAACTGCCATGTGGTCCGCAGATGTTATTACTTCATGCGATCCGGACATCTACGGCAAGAAAATAATGCTTGTTGTCGAAAAGAATAAGTAGGGCAAGCGGTGATTCCCCATTCCACTGTCTTCGGTTTTCAGCCAATGAGACGCGACCTATCGATTTTTTACACTTGGCTGATCGTTGACGTCCGTTCAACCATTTCGCTACGTCCACAGATATCGTCTGTTCACTTGGAAATTCACTGACCTGCATGCAATTTTTAGCGTGCATTATGTTGCCGAACAAAATCCCACTTTTTTCATCTCTAGTTACGAATTCATCCAAAGAGGATGTTTCGAAGTTAAAATTTTGAAATCAACTGATTTCCGCTTTAACTGTCAAGAGCGAAAACATCTTGTTGCAGTTTCAACATGCACATCTTTTTAAACATAACATGACTGCAACAAGTCGTGAAAATAGACTAGTATCCTTAAGGATTAATGATTGAAACAGCGCGTTAGTAGAGAAATCGTAGGAATTAGTTTAAACAAAACGATAAAACGTATCCGAAATCCAGTACTTTGTCGATTGCGTGCTTAGTAGGAATATTTTCTGACATAACAATCATTTAACGACCGTTGTAGAGGTCGTATTTTTCACGATCTGGTCAATGTGGCTGCGTCTGCGATCAGCCATCACTACCAAACGCCATTTCGCCGCTCTGAAAGATTTAATTCCTACTAATTTCAAGTGTATTATGCCAAATATCTCTGGACATATGGTCTAAAATTGGAGCACTATTATTCTGCTTTTGAAATATCCGTGGGATCTTTTAAAAAAACATCAAAGAAACGATGAGTCTAATGACAGGGCAGACTACAAGAACGTCATTTTGGAAAAACAGCTGTCCATCAATTGTCGGTCGTACTTTAGATCTTGTAGGAATCGCAAGATGGGAGACGAACCGACATTAACCAATCAATCGTAGGAAACTAGGGTGCTTTTATTGGTCGGTTTATGGGCATCCAATCAAACATCTAGATTCTAACTCTTACACACGCACCCCATTGGCTGCCTGCTTTTCGAGCAGAATGTAAAATCGATCGACGAAACCGCGATAGACTTATGCCTGCAAAGTCAGCATGCATCGTTTGTTCGTCTCAACCTACTTCCGCCTGAAACTACCACCTGAGGTTTTCGATTCCCCTTTACCACAGAAAGAACGTTGAACTCTCCAACTGGTTCACATCGGGCGTACGGCCACACCATTGGTCATCTCAGTGGCCAATCAACGTCTGCTTCACGGGAATGTCCTGCGTACGACTACCAAGCAAGAATCTCCAAATGTCTGCTCAGAAAACACACAAAAACCCACCACACATAACTCACAAGACAAGACACCTCTATTAATTATTATTATTAGTCTACGGCCTATAATACTATATGCACAAAGGTATGCGAGGCATGAAGAGATACCGTGCGATACACGTGGGGTCGCTGTAAAGTAGCAAGTAGTATATAATTGCAATTATAACCCCGTAAACAAAAACGCGACCGATTAAAAATCACACGCGGCGTTAAAATCGTCTGTTCATGCGTGAGCCAAAATGAGAAAGTGAGTAAAGAAAAATTTAGCTGACAGCAGTCACGGCGAGTAATCAGTAAATTAACAATCGACTGTAGAGGCGCAAGAGCGTGTGCTGGAAGTAAGCTGGGACAGAGGGTGGCGTGGTGGTGGCGGTGGTGGTTGTGGATGCGAGACCTATACAGCTTCTGCGATGGCCGAAGGACGGGCAGGTGATTGTCCCAAATCGCTGAACAGGGGCGAGGGCAGCAGGGGAGTTGAGAAATGCTTTGCTGTCATCGTATTCGTGGGGAAGGGGCGTGAAATCGGAGGAGAACGGAGTCGAGGTGGGCTGTGTTCGGGAATGTGTTAGATTGAGTAGCGTCGGCCTAAAACAAAACGCACTACTCACTAAATATCAGTACGAATTGCAAATTGAACACACAAGAGCCAGAACACCCACCAATCACCAAGGGGCTAATCGGACTGGGCACAAATTACACACCAATTGCGTCACAGTCAGGCGGTACACACGGTAGCACGCGTGAAGTGCATGCAGAGGTGTGATTCACGACACAGCTGAAAACTCCGATCCACGCTGGGGCGGTTATTTGTGGCACAAGTGCGTACCGACGGATGTAAATTCGTTCAAACTAATCACACACACACGCACACACGCCAAACCACCGAACGTGGGCCTGTTGATTCAACGAAGGCGACAAATGTGAGCTTGTTTTAATTAAACATGGAGATCACCGCGGGAATTTAAAAAAAAAACAGAGATACGAGGCGATAAAGATGCCAATGTGACATGGATTGGGTAATTTCTGCCAATTGGGTTTTGGCAAATTAACCCGAACGACCTTGAAACGCGCGTCAAAAGTAGCCGCCAATCTAAGCCACAAGAGCTTGTGAAACACGTGGCGTCGATGCGTGATTAAAGACGCTGTGATGGAGCATTCTCACGCGATGTCAAAATTTTCACAGCAACATAGGAAAAGGGACTGATTTTCTGCAAACAAGTCGTGTACTGACGGCTTTCGACATTCGAAGACTACGAACACAAAGATCGATAACGTCACGGTCAAATCGAAGTCAATGGCGACTAGACAAGGCAGTGTACAATCGCCAAGCAGAACTTGCAAGGCCGACGACACTGATGGCCCACAGCATTTGAACGGCAAAAAATCCCAAAGACTTGGTGAATGATGCTAAGAGTCAAGAACACACCCCTGGTGTTCTATTCTGTGTGACCTTGGCTGAGAGTAAGAGCCAATCGTAAAAGGTCTAGGCTCCGATCGATGACGTTATAGCCAAGCCTAAGTCACGTCAAATCGAAACGCAAAACTCTGTTGACCAACTGCCAAACCAACCTTTTGGAAGCGCGAGACCGCACCAAGCGCGTCACTTCTGCTCCTTGGCCAATTGGATGAGAGGCACGAGGCTGGAGAGGGGCTTCGCCTGGGTGGTGATGAAGGGATGCTGGCAAGACAAACAAACACCAAAATGGAATGAGGGTTAGGGTTAGGTAGGGTGGAGTAGCGAAACAGCAGTAGCAGCAGCAGCAGCAGCAAGCACACAGACGTACATTCAAGAGCTCCGAGGCGGTGGCACGCTTGTCCACCGACTCCTCCAGACACCGGTCGAGGAAGTCGAGGAAGGTCGCGGAGAGACGCGCTCTCTCCTTGATCTCCGGCTTGCCGATCGTCGCGATCAGGTACAGTGCCTACATGGGAGGGGAAGGGAGGGAACGCACAACGCATGACTCATCAACGTGGTTAGGTGTGAGCTGGGTGAAGTGGTGTGGGAGGCCCGGAAACTTACACGAAGGGGGTTCTCGGTGAGGTAGGGTGGCTCGCCGTCGACCATCTCGATGGCCAGGATTCCGAGCGACCAGATGTCGACCTTGTAGCCGTACTGACGACGCGTGACCACCTCCGGCGCCATCCAGTAGGGCGTGCCGACCATGGTGGAGCGCTTGGTGCGCTCGTTGGAGAGCTGCGCGCAGAAACCGAAGTCAGTCAGCTTCACCGAGCCGTCCATGCCGAGGAGGATGTTGTCGGACTTGATGTCGCGGTGGATGACGTTGTTCGAATGCAGGAACTCCAGTGCGCGGAGGATCTACAAGCACAACGTGGCCCAGTTGAAGCGCAGACGCGGTGCGTCGATTGGCAACGCTAACCACCGCCAGACCTACCTCTCTACACACCGCCGCGATGTGACCTTCTTCCATGCAGGTCTCCGTGACGACGTCGGTGAGGGATCCACCGTCGAGGTACTCCATCACGACCCACAACTCCTCGCCGGCCGACGGCGCATTACTGTGGAGACTGGGCGGCGGCGGGGTCTTGACGGCCGATGGGGAGGTGGGGGAGGCGGGTGCGACGAGGTAGGCGTCGAGGAAGTTGACGATGTTGGGCTGACGGTTGGCCCGCATCACAAGGATCTCGTTGATGATGAGCTCTTTCTTGGGCTGCTGCGAAATGTTCATCTTCTTGATGGCGACCAACTTGTTCGTCGCGATCTCGTAGCCACTGCACACCACACCCGAGGCGCTGTTTGAAAACGAATACAAGACTAGAGCGAGCTTGTCGCCGTACGCGGAACACATGACGCGGTTAAAAAAAGGCTCCACTCACCCCTGACCAATCTTCTCAACCACGCAGTACTTGTCCGTAGGCGAGCCGGCACTGACGACGGCTCGCAGCTTCTCGTAGACTTGCAGATCGGTGAGGCGGTGGTGGTGGTTGTTGGTGCGACGCCGTGGCGCGGCGTGCTGGTGGTGGTTGGATTTTGGCGAGTTGGGGAAGTGGTGGAGGGGGGCGGTTCCAGTGGCCGGCTGGAAGGTCGCGTTGGTCGGTGGGATGGCGGGAAAGGCCGCGGTTTTGGACGCTGGTGACGCCTTCGCGCTCGACGCCGGCTTCACTGTGGAAGTGTCGTTTTCGGCTACACAAGGCACAGACGAAATACAGTTAGGGGAGTTTAGGGCAGAACCAGGCGACGACTTGAAGTCGTTGAGAGCACACTTAGTCAGGAGCAGAACAGCGCCGGCACCACAATTTGCCGATGGTTCAGTCGTTGCCAAGGTATATGTTCAAAAGGTGCAGGTTAATCTTGTCATCGCTGTTTCACAAGACACGTGGAGCACGTGTTTAGCTGGTGCGCGCGTGAGTGCGTGACTGATATCCTGCAACGAGACACGCTTTGAAGCGTGCCATTTTGGTGAACAAGCGTCACACGTTAGGGATAGCCTTGGTTACAGCACCTCTTGTTTGTGTGGATACAGGTGTCCGCTGGCAGCCTGCGGACGCCAAATTAGGGCCTGCTTCCATGCACTTTTGAAGGGGAATGCGGACGCCACGTGTAGCGCTACACGTTGACTCCGCACAAACTGTCATAGACATTGTCGGATCACAGCCATAGAGAACTTACGAATTGGGTGTTTCTTCGAGTGGCCATTGGTTAGGGTGCCGCCGTTCTCGTGAGCAGGGCCTCCTCTGGTGTCTGGTTGTGGTGGTGGCGGGGGCGGAGGAGGGGGCAGGAGGGTCGCCGTGGCATCCTGAAATGAGAGAAGCACAGCTGCGGCAAAACTGTGTTACGCGGACGCAAACACCACTGCCACGCGCCACCTACACCGATGACTCACTCGCAAAGTGCGACCGTGCAACCAAAGCAGCGCGCGCGCGCACGCACGCACGCACGCGGTGCGGCCCTGTCACCAGACGGGGGGCGTACACGTTTAGGGTCGATAGACAGGGCAGGAAAAAGACCCTTCTAGCGGTGGAAGAGTGAGTGCGCGTGCGCACGGGCGCGCATTCCAATTGCCTATTCCAGGGTGTTAGTCATTCCGGTCAGGCATTTTACAAAGAGGAAAAGGGGGGTGGGGTGGGGGGCGCACAGGAGTCACGCCTGTTCACGTCCCCCGCCACCTAATCCCCATCAAAAACATCACAGACGATACTGGGACGTTATCAGGGCACAGACAACAAGCACTGCTGCCAAAAACACACGCTCAGAGAACCAGTTTGAGTAACTGTGACCTCTCTGTTGAGGTGGATCAAAATGCTTAGTGGAATTACGAAAAGAGCCTCGATTCGACTGCCTCGAAGCACAAACAAATGGCAATTAGTCTAGATGATTCCAGTCAAGCGCAACTCAGCTAAAACGTGTGTGTGTGTGTGCGAGCCTTTATTGTTTGGATGAACAGCTCTGACACGTCAATCTCGTGCGAGTCGGCGTGGAGGCATTTCGTGAGACAAATCTGCGCCGCATACACACGCGCCACGTCATCGAAGTGAGGTTTAGCACTTACACTGACAGGTGAAGTGTCTCGCACCGTGGCCCCGGCCTCGAAAGACAGGACCATCGCGTTCACGGTTTCCGGTGACATCTCCTTCTCCGCAGCCCCTAAATCCACATCCAAGTCAGACTCCTCCGCCGCCGCTTCCAGGTTGTTCTCGTCGTCTTCGTCGTTGTCGTCGTCCTCTGCCTCGTCTACTTCTTCGTCGTCTTCTTCTGACGTGAAGGTTTCGGGCGGCGGAACGACGTGGGGATGGCGGACAGAAGTCTGCGGTTGAGCGGAGGGCGACAGACAGGGGTACTCCTCCATGGAAGAGGCGGCTCTGTGGTCGCAGACACCACCACCGTCTCCGCCGCCACCACTGCCGCAAACGGCTGTCGATGGCAGAGGTGGGGGCACGGAGCGATGATGGCTTCCACGGAGCGTTGCGGCGGGATCGTTGGCGGAGGCGGTCGCCGGGACAACCGGGACAGCAGCGGCGGCGGCGGCAGCGGCGACGGAAGCTTGGTGGGGTGGAATCGGAGGGGGCGGGGCACAACCAGAGGTGGGGGAGCTGCCCGTCTCCCCACTGCCCGAATAGTAGTAGAACGAACAGCCACTACTGGAGAGAATTGGAAAGGATTAGCACACAGCAATGGGGGGTGCCTTGCAACGATCGAAAAAAGCAGGCCAACGGGTTGATTGGGTGTGCTTACTGAACGAAATGCACACTTCTCAAACCTTTATCAATTCTCTATGAAAACACACAGGAATGCAGTCGTAGTTCAACTACCTCAAAAATATAACCCTGTGAATTCAGCATTACCTTGAGCTAATCTCCTCTAAAGATGGCGATGGCAGAACTAGAAGGCATTGCACCTCATCAATACTCGCAGAAATCACATGATGTCATCACGACTACAGTTTAAACATCCCGTGGGCGTAAAATTCACATACTTTTGAAGACGTTGAGTAGCGTGACTAGGTAATGCGTCAGATGAGAAAAGGTCACATGCATGGCGCGTTTGCTTGGAATTAAAACACCCACAAACGGAATAGCCGTTTCCAGGGGCCTGCACAGCCGTCCGTGTCGGGAGAAACGCTTGGATGCGCATCATGGGCACCTACCATGGCGATAAAACGATCGCCTCTCGCCTAATTTCGGCCCATAAAACCTAAATCGCGCGCACCCACGCGGTCAATGCTGCGTGGGTGGGGAGGGAGGGAGGGAGGGGGGGGCAAGCCAGCGAGAAATCACCTGGTGAAGCTCGAGGAGCCGCCGACGGAGACACCAGAGGTGGTGGGAAGACTGGGAACTGACGCCGTGGATGCCTGATTCTGTTTCTCATCAGCAGTGATGTTGGCGCCGGAACAGGTGCGGTGCGGTGGAGTTGGTGGGGGCGGTCGAGGCGCGACGACCTCGCTTGTCCTCCTGTGCTGCGTGGCGGGGGAAGACGACGCGGCGGTGGCGACTGCGGACGCGCCCGCGGTGCTCTCGTTGTAGCTGTAGCCCCGGAAGGTGGGTGCGGCACCACCGTCGGACTGCGGTGGGTAGTCGGAGGAAGGCGACCCCGAGACGAAGCTGGTTAGGGGGCTGGAGAGGGTGGAGAATTTGTGGTGGGGTGTCGCCGGAGGCACATCGGACATGAGAAGCCCCTCGCCGAAGGCCAAGGAGGGCTGCGTGGCTGTTGAGGAGCACCGCGTCGACGAGGACTGGCTCACCGAATCAACTGAGCCGGATGAGCCTACAGGCAAAAGGCGTAAGCGCAACTGCAACTCGCGTATCTGTCACAACATTGCCAAACTGATCCAACATAAATAACAAGCGGATTTTGAGGTAATTTTTAAAGCGACCAACTGCCTTTTTAACTGACCACGACTGAGATTTTGCGAGTCGCGATAGTCTGGCAGAAATGGTAGCAGAAGGCGATCTCACACTCCAACAGGATAGACAAGACTCTCACCGTAATTACCCCCCAAAAGAGTAGAAAAGAATCGAAAGCCACCAGCCACGGTGACGCCTACTTACCTGGGCAGTTTCAATGCGTGCTTGCTCTAGCGTATCTTTGATTGGGTGAAAGTGGCAATGGCAATTAACTAAACACGTGGAGCGCTTATCATAGGTGCGGTGAGGTGGTCGCAAAACCGCCGCCGTTGCAGGTTGCTGGGCCAATTCAAAATGCCAGTGGTCCAGGTGTTGATTTCATGCCATCTGCGAATCGCTAGTCGCAGGTCCGACTCACTGGTTACTGGTCCACTGGTTAGCGGCCAATAAGATTGACGATTCCTGGTTAGAGTGTGAGAGGTCAGAAGTCAGCAGAATCGTCGCCAAATGCGGTTGTCTCCCCAGCCAACATGACAACACTAAGCTGAGTGGAGTCAAGTTAGGCGTCGGAATTGCGCAGACACGGGCAGTAAAACGTGGCCTGCAAACAGCGAAATCGCAGACCGAATGCCGGACAATCGGGCAAGGAAACAGCTAGTTCTGCACACGTACACGGTTTTTCCCCAGCTTTGCGTTACCCAGGCACTTGGCTGGTCGAGCGAGTCAACGTAAACACACCCCTGGACTGCATTAGGGGCGCGAACACCACAGACAAACTGCCGAGAGCGTGGGCTCGCGCGGGACCCCGAGACGCCAGGAGCAGGTCGCAATCGATGGGGGCAACACTGGCCCCTCGTCTGCACGACAGTCCAAAGGGTGGCAAACTCTCACTGGGCGAGGCACAACAGTCAGCGCTAGTCCAGAAAAGTGACGCGCCAGCGGAAGCCACTACGAGTGTGGGTGGGGGAGGCGGTGGTTAATTATGTCCCGGTCGTAAAGCCTGGCGGCGTCAGACTCCAAACCACGATAATGACAATGATGACGACGTCAAAAACAATCCGCGGCGTCACATGATGGGCTGCTGTTGGCATCCAAGAGCAAAACAACGTGGTAAGTGCTAGCGTGGGGTGTAAGGCGGGGAGTTAACAGGAAGAAGGACCGCCAGTTGGTGCAGAAATGTGGAGCGCAGACATTATCCAGGCCACTAAAAGACACACACACGCGCGTGCGCTCACGCCGAGTTCACCAGTCTGGAAGGAGACTGCGTCTTTTTTTTCCTGTCCCGTCACGGCATGGGGAAAAAGTGGTCAACAGTTACTGTGAAGGTCACAAGCGCGCGCCTGGAAGACAACCGACCGTGCAAAAATCCCGCGATTTTCAACCAAGTGCCTGGCGCACAAGGGAGGCAAAACCAGAAACCCGTTGATTCAACCTAAGGGTTGGAGAGATTAGTTGACATTTCCAATCACTGCCACCGCCTGCCGTCGCCGTAGCCTCGACCGATTGGATCAACCAATCAGAGCGAAGGTACATTTCAGCTGGCCAAAAAATGCAATAACTGAGATCGGACAGATCAGCTTCAGTCGCACCCAACAACATCGACTTGCTGTGTTTTGAGAGGATATGCTGCCCAATTCGAACGTACAGCGCAGTTCACGTCAGTCTCGCACCGCTAGACCCGCGTTTCTGATAGAGCGGCAGTTGGAGCAGGGCCTGATTGCTGGTTTGTGTTAGTACTCGATTTTAGAAGGCTTGTTTCGCGCACAAATGACCTTTGGCAGTTGGGGGATACGCACTTCTGCGCACAAGCACAATTGACTGTGTGCGCGGGAGTGGCTCGGGGGATTGGTCTTGCGTCGTTAGACAACGTCGTTCGCGGTGAACAAGTCGCCTTTTCCACACCACAGACCAGACCGATTCAAATGCGCTGCCTGAAGGCCACCGCCACCGCCACACACACACACACACCGCCCCACGCAGACACGCGCGAAATAAATTTCAGGTGACAGACGTGCCAGAAAGGGTATGGATGGCGCGACAGATGACGAGGCAATTACACGTGCCTGTTGAATAATGATTACCGATGGAGCAGTAGTGGGTGCTAGGGGTGGTGAGTCATGCCAGCAAGCAGCAGTCAGAGCGAGAAACAAGCAAACAAACAGAGCTACGGTGGTAGTTAAATTCAAAAGAGACGCCCAGAGGTAGATAAACGTCTTGGAAATATTGGAAATACAAAAAAAATGGAGATCAACGAACTTAATCACGGCAATGTTGCCCATTGTCTTCCATGACCGTGCACCATCTCTCAGGGAACATACGGATGCCGTTACGGCAATAAGGTCACCGACGAATTTACGCACATCGTCCTTGAGCGTTTTAGGAACTGTTCATCTACTAAGGCGGATGAGGCCATGTCTGCTGAATATGTCGTGTGTGGGAGAACTACCCAACCCAAGTTCAAGAAGGTCTTCTGAGTAGCGCGAGGAACGTGAGGTGGTCGAGCTTTGTCCTGCAACAGCAGTATGACTTGCCCGCTTCCTTGCCCTGTAAATGGCCTCTTCTGATCAAGTTCTTCGATCAGTCTATTTGATTGTCACCTGTAGCGTTCCGCACTCACCGTCTGATTCGTTTCCAGCAGTTCGTAGTAAAGTACACCTTTTATACCCCCCCCCCCACCACCACATACACAGAAGAATCTTCTTCAAGTGGATGTCCTGTTTCGGCGTCGATGTACCGCATTGCTCGGGATCTACCCACGACTTTCGACATTCGAGATTCTCGTTAAAAATGCACATTTCATCACTCGCCACAACGTTCCACACGACGTCCATTCTCTGCTTGTTGCCGGTGGGCAAGAAGAGATAGCCATGTGTTCAAACGTTGACCTAGGCGATTGTGTTTGGTCAACACATGTGGGGGGACCCAATTTCCATGTTTTGAATTTTTCCCATTCGGTGATGTAAACGCTTAAGATATAACTGTTTGTGTGACTCCTACTTGGGCTGCTGCAAGCTCTAGTTGCGTTTGCGTTGAGTCTTCATCCAGCAGAGCTTGCGATTCCGCATCTGCAAACTTTCGAGGCTATTCGGGGCGCGGCTGGTCACGTCCATCGCAATCGCCACTTCCAAAACGTTTGTACCAATGATCACACGTTTCCAAAGACACAACTTCGGCACCAGGAACACAACATGTTGAGTCCCAGTGCTTTTGAAGCATTTTGTCCTTCTTGAAATTCGCATGAAATGTCAACGTAAACTCTGCTAGTCTGAGAGGTTATGTGACTCACGTTGGCTTGTCGTTCGGTGTGCTGAGACCCTGGGTTCGACCATTTCAAAACCGCGAAAAACCACGAGAATATTTTTACTTTAAATGCATAACTTTAGGCTCGAAGAGCAAGTCTGTGCAAATTAATTCACACAACTAATAGATTATGAGGCATTGCAGTGAGGCGTTGACTGACTTACACAAATACTCACACTTCGGTCTCACAGATTAAGCCTTGTGGAAGTGAAATGGATTGGAATGCGATTTGGCGTCGCCTTAGAATGGACAAATCAACGATGCCAATTTCCGACACCATCGGTGTTTATGATTATAGTTATACAAATTAAGCCAAGCAGAGGGCAGACTCACTGGTAACGCCCGAGATGTTTGTCATGTACTTGTCTTTGGGTTTGGCCGACTCGTCGTAGCAGTGGAGCACGTCGAGCATGAGATCTGGGTGTTTGGCCTGCTCCGACGAGGGGATGTTGGAGCTTTTCAGCAGCAGGGCCCATTGCGGAGGCATGCCCTTGGTTAGAGGAAAGGAAAAAGTGAGGAGAAAGGAATTACAGGAGGGCCCCCCTCCAACGCAACCCCCCCCCCCCCACCCCCACGAAAGCCCCCTCCCTCCCCCCGTCCAAACACCGGGCAGTTGAAGCACGGGGAAAGCATCTAGAGGGGCCTAGCGTAGCGAAACTAATCAAATGACGCAAACCGAGTCAAAGTGTGCATGGTTTGGGGGGGATTGTGGGGGCGCCCGAAGCGCGACCGAAACTACCATCCCATCGAGAAGGTGGACGCAGGAGATGCTACTCTGATATCCCGAGGCGCCGGATAATGGATTCAACTGCCAGGAGGGAATGCGCGCAGGCACGCACGCACGCGCGCGCGCATGTTAATTGGCACCAGGGCGGACGCGGCGCCCCCTGCAAGCACACACACAAACACACCGGGTTGATGGAGGTTTGGCCCACGGCCAGAAAATACAGGCAATTACAGCTGCAAACACACACATACACACACACACGAATGCACGCGCACACAAAGTGCGCCGACCAATAACACAGAGAGAGAGAGAGAGCGAGAGAGCCCGAAGACAAGTGACGAGGTAAGAACAGAGGCGAGGTCTCTCCGGGTGTTGCAGGGTCGCCGTGACCCTAACCTCGCCTCATTTCACATCCGGCGAGCGCGTTCTGCCCACTTGACACGGAGGATATCTGGAGGGGGTGATTAGCTCCAACCCCGCTTCTTTTTCGATCCAAATCTTGTCGCCACTGCTTCTGATACACACACAAGCACTCAAGATTCCAGGATCACACATCTTCGGCTGAAAAGACCCAACCCACAAGGTAAGCGTTGGGTGAATTGACGCGCAAACTGGCACGACACAGCTGCAGATGGCGGATTGACGCCCTACGCAAGAATGCACACAAGGTTTGGATGGGAGCAGAGACCACCCACAACACACTCCCTGGAGGCGGTTTCCTGAGGCTGTGAAGGAGAACGAGAGACATCGCCGTGAGATGGGGATTGGCGCAAAGCGACATATTGACCTTTTTTACATTTAGAGATGCCAGCTCTAACGGAGAAAGCCGCAACCCTGCATGGCAGGATTCAGTCAGACACTGAGGCGTGCCAAATTGTGCCCCAGACAAAGACCACACGAGGGCAACAGAGGCGAGAAGGCGAGCGACCCCCAACTGGTGCCAGTAGCGGCGTCTTTTGGGAGTGACGTGGAATTGGTTTGGCGACGCGATGCCTACTTTGGGTCGGGGAAGGAGAACGCATGCGTTTTGGAGTGGAAGATGGTGGTGGCAATAGACGGGGGGGGGCGTTGGGAAGGGCGTAACGAAGTCAGGCCAAATGGATAATTAGATCAGACAAGCACGTTAGCAGCAAATGTGCAAGGACGCCTGCTTGGAAGTAAGGATTGCGTTTGCGGGGAAAGGTTTTGTGCATTGCAGTAAAAAGAAGCTCCACACAACAGCAAAAGGGCACGCCCTGGACAAGGACGACAACACGAAGCAGTTCAACCGGTAGATTGATAAGGTCACAACTCACACACACACACAGACACACAGTGAGGCATAAAATTAGGAACGTGGGAGATTACAGCGAGCCCGCCTGGCTTCTCACGACAATTAACCCCAACACACACACACACACACGAGCGCGCGCGATGAAGTGGCTGTCAACGGCTGACGGCAGTGCACTGACGACAGACTCGCCAAGGGGCAAATTACCGACGCTCAGCTCACAAACCACCTACCCAAGTGATCGCAGTGTGCTCTAGTGCGGCAGAAGCACGACCCACAGCTTTTGAGTGTAATCGCAACTGGCCAATGAAAAGTAACTGCTGGTATGCCGTAATACAGAACTGAGCGAGGCTGGAAGCGAACTCAATGTGATGTTGGCTCGTGGAAACATCGGAATTGGCTGGACACATGTGCGGCACACATGCGCAACCAATGGGAAACTGGTGGAGACTGCCACATTTCAAAACCTAACCTTGTTAATAATACGCGGTTTTGTAGCCGAGTTGTTATTGGGGTAATGATGATGATAACTCACCCGGAATTCACCTAGCGTCCGGTCGAAGGACACGTGGACGTCGTGCTTCACGTCTGTTGGGCCAGAAATGCACGGTTCTGTGGACCCACCACGGGTGAAGAGCGGAAGACGGAATAAATGTACTGCAAGGCAGAAAAGGCGAGCATGTCAACGCACGACCTGGCTTCAGACTACGAATTCGAGTGGTTTGCAGAGGCTATATAGGAAAAATAGCACGATTGAACTAAGTACACGCTAGTAGTTGTTGGCTTGACTTTCATAGCTGACACATCAGCTGATCGAGAGGGCCTCATTAATTGCGCAGCACCCAACGACGGCACCAAAGTACGCTTCGAGCCCGAGAGGTCAACAAACTGAGGTCAATTTCGCAGCCCAGGTGAAGGACACCAGACGAGTGCGGGGGTGCATGCGTGTGGCATTAATTGCCGTTTAAGGGCAGACTGATCCGAGTGCTGGCAGTGACCCCTACATGACGATCGACTTTGTGATAATCCAGTGCACCTGGCAAGCTGTTGTGCCGTTTAGATTCGATTACGCTGGACAGATGAACCACACGAACACCCTACTACCATCACCACCACCACCACTGCCTAGACGTCACACGCAAACACATCACTTAAATGTTGTTTTGACATTTGACCAAGAAAATATAAATGCCCGTCGTTTGGACAGCTGACGCGATAACATCTGTTGGGCAAGGCGTTCTGACGTGAAACATTTAGATAATGCTCCACAGATTACGATGGTGACCAGGAGGTGTTGAGATGCTTCGCCCTACACTGGGTGCGTGTGTGTGTGTGAATTGGAGCAAAACCGCAGATGTGTGACAATAAAGAGGACCAATTTCGGGTCAAACCAAGAAACCTGCCAACTAGGCAGTCTACCAGCTGCCACGAACCACGGCTAAGGCTTACGCCAATTGTGCAGTAACATTCAGTGCTTTTTTTGCGTTCAAGGAAACCGAGCCAACACTGAACATGACAACTAGTGGATTAACAACAGCCGTGCTTAATCACCTAATCGCACACACACACACACAGGGAGAGGGAGAGAGAAATGCGGGATTAAGAAATAGACAGGGAAACATTAACCCCTGGGAAGCAAGACTACGCTGACTGAAAGTGCAAACGAGCAGCGTTATGCAATCAAGGCGAAACCCAGACGGCGCGAAATAACGAACGACCGACCGACCTCGGGAGGAAAAGGCTAGATGCGTTGGCTCCACAAAAGAGGGTGGCTAGCTAGGCGGATGGGCAAGCATTCTTACAGCAGAAAAAAACAAATCCAGTCAAGCAGTCCCGATGGGATAAAGCGGGTGGGAGCTAATCTCATTAAATGAATTACCACAGGGCAACCTTATCGACTGGTGCAAAAGAGGGGATGGATGCTAGTCCACTCGCTTTTTTTTTCTGTACCGAGGCTAATTCCATTGCTAAAAGTAACTGTGCAGTGTTCGACGCCGTTACGTTCAACTGTAAAAAGTCAGATTCGTTCAAAACACAACCTAACTCGAGCCAGGACACACGGCGAGTTGGCAAATTTGTAAATACAGTCGTGGTTTCTGTGTATTAAATGAATATAATCTTAACTGCCTCAAGTAATGAGGTGGGTGGTCTGATTTGTACTTGATCTTGGAATTAATTCAGTTATGACGAGAACTTTTCAATGATGAAGAAGCGCACAACACATTCACAAGGCCATTCAATGTTAGTGATATGCGCGGCCAACTGTTTGGCAATAATATAAACAATTGTTGGAATGAGGGTGAAGTGCGCTCGGTTAGGTTTGCGTAAACCACCGAAGTAGGCAGTGAACGCGAGGTGGAGGAGGAGAAGAACAACCAGCTCACCCTTGCGTTTCTTCTCCTTCTTCTCCGGCGGGGTTGGCAGAGGCTTCGAAGGAGGCGAGATCATGGGGCGTTCCTTTTTCCTAAAAGTGCGTGCAGGCAAGGTCAGTGGGCGGAGCTTGGCATAGGCCCAGCGGGGGGAGGGGAAAAAAAGACAAAGCGCTGAATAAGCCACCAAACCAGGGGAAAAAACGACAACAGGAACGTGTGAATGGGAGGACACTTGGAACATGCGTAAAATTGTTTCGAGTACAAGAGAAACGAAATGATAGCGATGATTGCAACTACCCCTGACGTGGGCACAAACTGTGCCTGCAGAATGCGGTGGCGCAGTTGGGCATTAACCAGTTGAAACGCCTACTCACATGGAGTACAAACAATCAAATAAATGGGACAATAAAGAGGCGAGAGGAGTCACTGCGTGGGTGAATCACTGCCGTTTCATGACAAACGCAAATCACCAGTAATCTGCCGAACTTCCACAAAAATACAAAGCCAACGGTTAAAAAAAAATAAGATGCTCTTCACTGATTGGGGCGTCCAGTCACGATTAAAAATAAGTTGTGATGCAGAAATACTCAAGATTGTTAACCAGGTGTACTATGAGAGGATAATATTTTGACAAATTCAAACCAAGTCTAAGACAGGAAAATCTGGACTCGGCCAGACGCCCAGTTTCACTTAAATTTTAGGGGTAATGATGACGAAATCAAGACAGCTTATCGACAGTTAGGGGAATGGAGATAAGCAAGTTTAATCAACTTAATCCACAATGGTGCATTCATTAGCTTCGAGGGATATTAGAATAAGCCAGGATTAACAAATAGATGGTCGCATGTAAAGGGTTAAAATTCACAAGAAATCTAGTTAAAATTTTCTAACAAACTACTAAGCCAATCAAATTTCCAAAGATTTCTCTGGCAAAAGAGTAAATTTTAACGAACAGATTAACGACAGAGATTGCCACTGACATTTGGACAACGATTAATAAAGGTTTGAAGTAAGCTCTGAAAAACAAAAACACTTGACAGTTTTGTTAAGAAATTTGGAAGATGTACAAGGAGGAGACTTAACATACAACCAAAATCAAAAAAAATAAAACGATCCTAGATTTAGCAATATAATTGAACTTTTGGGTAAAATATATCATTTAAATTATAAAAATAGCTAGTATACGCAAATGAAAATAAACCCCTAAAACAAAATATTTTGAACTGATCCCGCGGATATCTGACAAGTAATCCATGACATACAATCAGAATAAATGTTTTATTTCGCCAGACAGCTATCGCTTAAGTTTTGGATGCTGCAGAAACAACATTACTCACTGGAAGTATCAGGACAAGTACAAGAACCGCCAATTAGAAAAAAAGTAAGTGATCATGATGAAGCTGAGTCCTAGGAAACAAAAAACGTGTACGTGCTTACAGTATACAAAACCGAATACTCACAATGGCTGTTTAATGAAACCTACCGAGCTTACAAACAAGAATTACGTTAGAAATATACAGGAGACTCACAGTGTACTTGATGAACGAACCGGTGGTGTAGGAGCTGCTGTTGGTGTTCCAATATCTCCGTAAAGGAATGTGGCAGACGAAGCCGGAGGTAAGTGTGAGCCTGTTCCTGTTGAAAGTCGTTGTTGAACAACTGTCGATTCTGGTATCCCAATGTAATCAGCTAAACTTCCGCTTAAATTGGATGTATTTGCGGACATTGGCTCAAAGCAACATTAAAATCCTTTTACTAAGGTAATATCCAGACTGGTAACAGCTGACAATACGTCTGTAACAGGCTAAGCCTCAGAATACGAGAGGCACCACACGAAAACAATTGCTTTCAGAAACCGCCAATAAAGACAAAGCAAGCTTCCTCGGCAACCTGGAGTTCGAATCAATCAATGAATTTGTTCAAATCATGCTTCTGGTAATTTAACAGGCCTCTTACCTCAGCTCCAAAAAACATAACAAAATTCAAAGTTCAAAGTATATAATTCTATCGACTTGCAGATAGAGCAAACAATCTAAAAAACATTGTAGGCAAAATTTGTATTTTGGTTATTTTCATAAATAAAAGATTAATGTTCTTATTTCAAAATCATAACCAATATTAGTGACATGGAATCGTAGCATATAATAAATCAATTTGTCTAGAAAAGTGCCTTTATTTTAATCAGTAGGAGTTGAAATTTTTGCAAATATAAATGGTTCGTGATAGTATATAATTTTCGAAATAGGAATTTAACAGAGAGCTATGTATACCTAAAAAAACAACTTGTAGGACCACAAAGCCATTAATGACTGAAAAGTAAATTCATATTAGCTGCTGTCAAGGTATATACAGGAAATACGTCGACATCCAACACTAAATGTCTTCAAATTTTTTTACAATAAATGCTTTTAAACGCAAAAATAACAGATAGGTTATTAATGGAAATTGGAGATTGGCGTCTCCTAGTAAGAAAAACACAGGAAACATTACAGGGTTTTGATCTTCTGACATCGAATGTTATCATAACTAACGCTAAGTTTAATGATTTGTACAATTTCAAAGCAAAATTTTATTGCTTAACCAATTTTTACTGTAACATCTGACAAATATTCGATGTTACAAATTACTTTAAAATCTTATCAATCTAAGATGGCAAACACAATACTAAAATTTTTTTTGTTTTTCAGACCATTGAGTAAATAATCCAGCATTGTAAACAGCTGTCCTTAAAAAGTTCTAACAGATTTAGTGGTTCTATTTTCCCCTCCTTAAAAAATTAATTCAAATATCCTTAAAGGAGATGGCATTATAATATTAATAGCTATTTAGGCGAATGTGAATTTTAACAAAAAGACGACTTGCTTCATCTTGATCTATTTGCAATCCATGAACAGTAAAGTTAAAATGCAAATTTGCAAAATATGTTTAACCCTGCCATATTGTGATGACAGTGTGAGCAAAATTTGGTAAAACATAAAACCCAAGAGATTGAATTTGATTAGAATTGGTACAACAGAGTACCCTGTTTTTAATAACCATGCGTTTTTTGCCGCTAACCCCCAGGTCGTGATTCTCAAAATTTCCCGTCCTTGTTTTGCTACAGAGGGCTTGTTGAGATTGGTGAATTTGAACCTGAATAGGTGCAGTCATCAAATTCTAAAACGGTTTCTCGTACTGACCTATATAATGGCAATTATAATATTTCCAGGTTGACATTTTTTTAATACCTATCACCTGACAGGAGTGTGGAGAACGCGCCTTGTAGAATCAACATGAGCATGAGTACATCGCCGCGATTTTCATCGGAAGCAGTAAATTCACGTGCAGTTCAATTGGTTTTTGTTTATGAATGGAGTGTTTACAATCCCAATTGACATCTAGGGATTTAATCGTTTGGAATATCGAATGAGCAGAACTGACAAATTGCAGCAGGCAACCATAGAATAAAAGGAAAACGACCAGTTTTCAAATTGTCTTATCAAAACTCTTTCGTTGTCACTAAAGTTAAATTTTTTAGTCTAACTATAAAAAGGTCTGATTATTCAGCCAGAACCGTCAGTTGGGTGCCATTACCTTTAGTTCCCAATACTAACTACGTTACTATTATATGATAGCTCTATTCAAACTTTGTCTCTAGTTTTCTACAGATCTTAAATGCAGGCTGTTTAAACGCACTATGACAAAGGTCTGGTTCAGGTCGGCTGGGATGGATTCTCGAAGATTATTACGAAAATTTGATCAAATGTTTAGTTTATTTCTAATGAGAAGCTACATTTTGCGTTACAAAGTAAACGAAGGAATGTTTGGTATGTTTAATAATCAAAAGTTGTATTCCTGTTGTCAAAACAAAGTAGCCTCTTTGTTTTATTTTCAATCAATAAATTTAACTGACTTCCTAAGATTGATTGTGGAGTCATGAATTTTTCTTCTTGCACTAATTGGCTCAAGACTTCAGATAATCGAAGACAGGCTTGTTGTTGTGAAGTGGGCTGGAACGTTAAAAAACTTAAGGAAGATTTTATTTATTATTTTTAAGCATAAAAGTTGCAAATGAACATGGGGGTTATGTTAGTACAAGGCAAATGAATTCATTGCCAGTGTGTTCACACTCGGTAACATACAATGAATATAATATTCTATATCATCGCATAACAAAGCTCTTGGTATGGACTGTAAAGACTTCTTGATTGTGCAATTTATCCTTTAAATCATTGGTTTGCCATAACACAAAACATAGTGTATCTATTTATAAAAGCGTATGTTTTAGATGGGGCACTGTAACGTACATGAGATTTTATTCAAAAACTTCAACAAAACCGCTGGAGCAAAAGCTCTGAGCAAATGTAAACATTAATGTATTGTCAACTATCTCTAATTTATGAAAACATTATAGTAATTAAAACGATTTATTGCACTATAATCCAGTCTCTGAAACAATTTACTGAGAGCAATTGTCTCATTCTCACGCTAAGCGCACACTTCAAGCCTCTGTAAACCGGCCCATGTAGAATACCCGAGCCCTAATAGGAAAAAAAACGGTACAACAGTACAGGCTTTATTGACCAATCAGAAGCCAGGGCCACGCGTCAGGTGCCTTCCATCCGAGTCCACCGCGCTGGCCACGCCGCTCATTATATACTGCATCTCATCCATGTCCT